ACGGTAGAAATCACAGGTCGTCACTGCCCAACGGGAAGAGTAATTCAAGGATTCTTCCATGGTCACTCCCACGGATGCGCTGGATCTGCAAGGTGGTTCTCTCTCTCTCTCTCTCTCTCTCTCTCTCGCTCTCTCTCTCTCTCTATCGATTTGTCTGTCTGTTTGTATGTGTATTCATTCACCTTCTCAGAACTTATACGGTAAACTTATCTCCTTAATACAGCAATATGCCTACTTCGACGCAGAATACGCGTGAAACGCACAACAGATCAGAAACCTCGGTGATGGGAAGAAACAAAAACCACTACATTACGAGGGGAAAAAGACGAGCGTGCATTAATACGCTTCCGGACATGAGCAGGACAATGGGTTGTATTTTTTATCTGCATAATTTTTCCCCGGATTCTCGTATCCCTAAGTATTTACGAGTTGAGTCTAACCTGGAGAAAGAGAGAGGGAGAGTAGAGAGAGATGGAACCAAGGCGGAGGTGCATTGTGCTTACCCGATGCCTGGTGGGTAGGAGAAGGAGATGCACATGAGGAAGAACCACTCGGACTCGGTTAGGTCCTCCGGCGAGAGGGCCGCCCAGGGCCTGCGCGGCGGCTCTAGATTTTCCTCCGCCAACAGCGACTGGTAGAGCTCTTGTAACTGTTGGGCTCTATGGAGAGGTTCGTTCTCGTCCACGGCCGGGCCCCCAGCTTCCTCCGTCTGCTGCACCGTCTTCCTCGTCTTGATCACCCCGTTGTAGCACCCGTCCGCCCACGACAGAACCCTTTGTTCGTGATGCCACCAAGATGAAGAATCACTCAGCGGCAATAGATAAAGGTGGAGGTAGCGGGAGATAGATAGATAGATAGAGAGAGAGGGAGAGACAGAGAAAGAGAGAGAGAGAATACCCTCGACTTGGGGAGAATTGCCAGAACAGGCTATACGTCCACTGAATGCTTAGCACCACGGCCTGAAGACGCTGGTGCAGCGTTGTAGGAGTGCTGTTGCTGCTACCGTTGGCGACGCCGGCGCAGCCCTGTAGGTCGACCATCGTGCTCCGGCTGCTCAGCTTGAATATGTATTGAAATCAAGCTGTCCGGAAGCAGTGCTGGAAAGACCTGTCACTGAATTCACCAACCTAGGCCAATGACGTGGGAAGTTTCCTTCGTTGGTGGATTTCATCGTCGGGTGTGGGAGTAAGACCGGTGTAGGACCTCGGAAGAGATAGGGAGAGACATGGGGGGAAGGGGGGAGAGAGAGAGAGAGGGCGGGGAACCGGAGTGAGGGAAATGGGGGAGATAGTTGTATGGCTCGGAGAGTATTTTGACTTGTGGTTCTACCTGACATCCTCTCTCTCTCTCTCTCTCTCTCTCTCTCTCTCTCTCTCTCTCTCTCTCTTTCTCACGGCAGCAGACCCGTCGAATTTTCCAACTCTCCCTCCGTTTCTCTCTTACACCGTATGATGTGGATTTCTCTCTTTGTTGGCACGCTGAGCCGCAGCAAACATAGGTGGAGTAATAGTCCTCTGAGAAGGCCGCACCTTCTCTCGGTCGGTATATTCAACTTATTTTTTATATCTTAGTAGTTTTAAAATATATTTTACACCATAAAGGAATAAAAAAATCGGGACAGCTCTGATGCTCCATACGTCGGCATGAACTACTTTCCAAAACAGAGCCTTTTATGAAATAAATAAACTTACAGGGAACCTACTTTTAAAAATAGCATCCGAGATCTTCGCTTCCTAGGGCCTACGGAGATTAGTCACTGGTTGTAGGGATGCTGACGTCAACTGACATGGGGACGGGAACCGCAGGACAGCGGCCATGGCTGGTCCCTCCAACCGCCGGTCAACGTTCTCCCGTGAAAATGTATTCCGATATCTCTAATATGCATATATTAAAGTCATCATATTAACTAAAAAATAACTTTCCGGCAGCTAGATATTAACTTTTAATAGCTCAAATAATGTCATAATTATTTTTATATGCCTATACAATATCTACATCGTTGCTTGGACTCGTTAATAAAATGCATCTCATGAAACGGAAAATGGATAACCAAACTAATCAGCTAAGCTAGAAAATAAAATTTGTCTTTTATGAACTTTGACGGAAAACTTAGTATAGTTCTCTTTAAAAATTACACGAGAATCATTTATGAAGTAAAAATATGATTTTTCATATTGATCTTAACCCCTTCTTATAACACAAATTGACCCCAAGTCTAATAGCTATTGGAAAAAGATAAATAATAAATTACATCACCTTTTTTTAAAAGTAAGACATCGACAAATCTAGATTTATTACAAACATAGATGTAATGAAGATTTATTTTGGAAATTATAAAACCATGTTATTTTAATTGAAATGAACTAATATTTATCGATCAAATGTTAATTCATTGAGAATATAATCCTATGACAAAAAGAGCTATAGAAAGTTCATGTGCCAATTCAAATTAAAACATAAATAAAACCTTTAATAAATACTAGGGAGCACATCAATACTTTTCTTCCATCTAAATATGCAGAGTGGTATTATTAGAACTATATGCATACAAAAAATGCATTGGGCCTTTCTTTTATAATATAAAAGTGTAAAAAGTAGATTATTAAATATGAACACATTAAAAAACTTAAAGTAGCTAAAATCCATGTCTCAATCTACATAATTAAGCCATCCCATGAGAAAAAAAATTGAATATAGAGGTCCAACTTCTTAGCTCTCTAGAGGGCTAGGTAGATAAGTTAAGATTGGGTAGGGGTGAATTGGTTTCTTTTATTTTGATATGTTTGACTCTTAATTTCTAGTACTTTGGGGACTTCTATCATTACTTTTTTACCACAATTTTATAATGATTTGATCCTCCCACTTATGTCCACATTCAAAATTTGTATCCCCATTCAAGTATTATTCTCTTGAGAATATAGCTGAACTTCATGAGAACATCAACCCTTTATGTAACTTTCACAAGTCTATTAATACACTTATTTGATAGAATTCTCGAGTGTATCAATAAGCAATAGATATCAAGATTCTAGCTAGCCTTTCAACCAAGTTGTAACCACTCCATTTAGGATATTTGCTTAAAGAAATGAGAATGAAGAACTTAAAATCTTCTAAATGATTAGTAGATGACATCTTGATAGATAGAGAAGCTTGGTGTAATCAAGAAATGTCTAAATAAGATTTCAAAGGCTTGACCATCAGTTAATTTTCCTTTGATCTTGGTGTTCAAGGATTGTGATGAGGTTCTAATAACTTTTCATTATTATGAATTAATAATTAGTAAATAATATAGTTTTAGTCTTAACTCATGATAAATAGACTTATATTTGTATTAAAGTGTGACTTTCAGTTGATTAATATGAAATTTTAGGTAATTATGTGATTTTATACAAATTTATATGATTTTTATAGTCTTACTTTTCAAATAAATGAAGAATAATAAATTAAAATAAAAATAAAAATAAAACAAAATAGGGGGGACCCGCCAACTAGCCAAGCCTACTTACGAGCAAGGGCTCGAGCAACATGAACCGATAGGGGCACGTGCGCCACTCCAATTCCACATCACTAGTAGCATCTATAATTACTTACATAAGAATTACTAGGTGGAACTTTGTTTTTGCTCGATTCATATTTGGCAGGTGCTGCCATCATCCTAATGTTTGTACCCTTATTTCTATTTTTCGTAAATTTTAAATATATTTCTTTTTTTATTTTTAATATAAAATTAATAGAAAATAATATTCTTTGAAGAAAGTTTTGAATAATTACCAAATATTATATTACATCTCTATGATTGACTTGAAAAATTACCACTATTTTTGGAAGTTTTATTGAATTATAATTAATATATTTATTCATAAATACTTCTAAATATCCAAAAAATTATATTTTCTAGTTTTATAAATTTTAAATTTACATGATTTACTATACAATGACTAAGTCACGTCAAGTTCATATTCATTAGATGAATAAATAAAAGTCTTTTTTATATTCAATTTAATGGGCCAAAACTAATTTCTCAACAACTAGTTGAGAAGTCTTTATTGGGTCGTGTGTTCTTAGAAATCTACAAATAAACAATTATTCTTTTTGTAAAATTCATAATAATTCAAACCCTTTGAATTTTTGATGTGTTGATTGTTTGTTTTTTGTTCCGTTTTGAGTTAACCTTCCAATTAAATGTTGTATGCCCATATATGTGACATCACTTTGTTACTAAAAACTATTTTAATCATACAAGATAATAATATGGACTATTTTACCTCTAAGAAAAATTATGAACTCTATAATTTTTTAAAAATCATAAAAATTAAATCCTTTCAATTTAAATGCACAATTATTTCATTTTTTTCATCTTTCAATTATCTTTCTAATGAGTGAAGGTAACCCATACGTTTGACACTATTTTCAATATAAAAATTATTTTTTCAAGTTTAACCATAAATATTGATGTTTATGTTGAGAAAATTTGATTGGATTTAAATTATGCCAACTCACACTTTAGACATTACCAAAAATCATCATTCATCATCTTTTGCATCTTAACCTTGTAATCATAAAGATACTTGAAACTTTTTACCAATAATAGTTCTATTTTTAACACTATTCTTTCAGATTTTATTAACCTTGTATTAAATTTGTATAGTACATATACCATATAGTCCTGAAGTAGCACATTACTCTATAACATCTTATAATCCTAACAACGCCCTTCATGGTTCTGTAGCATAGAGGTGTCAACATATGATGTATTATTTATTTTGCTTAATGTAACATTTCTTTCTTTCTATCTTTTCCTTCTCTCTTATCGTCATTACAAATTGGATTCATTTGGCCTAGACTACTTTGATTCACTCATGTATTAACATGCTAGTATACAAGCCAATCCCATAGTGAACACTAAGTAAGAATCACAAAACATGGTTTTGGGACTACTTCTATTCTCCCTCCCCTTATTTCATTCTTTAAGGATTGGAGAAGGTTAATCAAGGATTTTTCTAACTTGACATGATATTGAAGCCTATGTGAGAAGTGTCATCTATCATGTGCCCTTTTTTTACTTTGGCGTATTTCTCATTATTGGCCATTGAACTTTCATGAGAGGTGGCTCTCATTAAGTATCATAAATATTTGATTTGTGTTCGCCTATTGACATCAATTTTTGATTCATACTTGATCCTATAGAGTGTTTGTGATTGATAATGCAAACAACTAATGACAAATGGTTGATCTATGGTTTGTCTACACCAGTTTGTGTTTTAATTAGTATTAAAAGTAGATGTGATTGGTATTATCTATTACATCTGTATTATTTCATCGATATTTTTGGTTCATGATATCTAGTTATTCAAAAATATATAGAACTACTTCAACCCTAGGTCATTTGCTAGTCTTAGAGTTTGATGAAAGGCATTTACATGTAAAATTACATTTAATACCACAAAAAAACTACCTAGATGGTTGAACTTACCTTAGTTGGTTCCAACAAGTTAGAGTTGTATTAAAACATAGAAGACTTACAATAGATTTGTTGAATCTAGAACCACAATCAGGAGATCCTGATTTTGAACTACATGATTGACTTTCAGATCATGTCATGGTTATAGATCACTATGATCTTTGGAATCTGAAGAAATAGACTATATCCTACTACAACTAAAAACATATGGAAGAATCTTCACCATATTCTCAAGCTAGGAATGTAACTCAACTATGCAAATTGGAAATGAAGATGATGAATATAAGACAAAAAAAGGTTAGTGATGGAATATACAATGAATCAAAAACGTTATGGTAATAATACTTAGTGATAGAAGGATGAATAAAAGGGACAAAACATATTATATTTAGTGAGACTAACTCATAATTTGGTCAATTGAGAATTTAGATTCTTAATTGAGAAAGAATATTATCCTTGAATAAGGTAATATCTTAATTGTAGGATAAGAGAGTGTTGTCTTTGTTGTGGCTAAGTGAAGTACCAAAAGAGGGGGGGTGAATTAATTTTTATATTTTTCTAGTCTATTTTAGCATTTTGTCTATGTATACATGTTGACACATGTTCTAACACAACCTATAAAATCTACATATAAATTCACCTAAGTTTCTTTTTTTCATCATAGGTAACTCTAGCCTCTCTCTTTCTCTTGTAATTATGATGGACATAGCTTTTTATATTGATTCACCCTTCTTTGGGCTACATTTAGTACTAAAGAATCTTTCTATCAAATTACTACTATTTTTCTCTAAAAATACAATTGACTTTACACATTCAACTCTCCCAAATAATAATATTTGATTTCCACAAAGATCTCACCCCTCACAAGTAAATCTTGACATATATTACCATGTGCTTAAGTCGACATACTCTTCTCCTCAAAGGCAACACCCTCCATGTGCTTAAGTCTTACCCTCTCTCCACTTATGACCCAAGTTATCTTAAGGCTTAATAGAGAAACATTTTTTTACATAATTATTTGATTTGAATATTACTACAAATGATTGATTATAAAGTTTTGAAGTTTTGAGTCTTCATTTTAAGATGTGTAGTTATTTTGTTATAGAAAGTTAAGTGGACCTTCTTCTTGAACTCATGTGAGTGATATAGATAAAGATTTATTCATTCAATATTAACTTAGGTTAACCATTAACTCATCATTTTTATACTCCAATGGAACCATATCATTTCAACATCTAAAGGTAGTCATATTATTTTGAATATCTTCTCATTACTCCACAAATGCTCCAATGACCTTTTAATGGGAACAAAAGTTGCCGCATCATCATTGACTATCATGTCATTAGATGATGCCACATCATCATCAAGTGTCACATCATTATCAAATGACACATCCTCCCTATGGTTGATGTGTCATTGCCACGTCAAAATGTCATTTGGTGAATCAACACCCCCTTTCATTATATATAAATACCCCTATAATGACAATTGGAAAGAAGAAGAGAAAAAAGATTAAGTTTATTTAATTAAGAGTAATAATTTCACCTTGTTGATGAGAGGAAGATAAAATCTTAGATTCATATATTGAAGAAAAAGAGTACATGAAGTTATATAAAAAAGAGGAAGAAAGAGAGAGAGGAAGAAGTGGAGATTGTGGAGGAAGAAATAAAGATGTGGAGAGAATAAGTCCAAAATGGGCTTAGTAGGCATAGTAGGTTATTCTAACACTCTCCCTCAAGTTGGAGCATACAAGTCAAATATGCCTAACTTGGTGCATGTCAAGTCATAGGAGATCATCACAAGACTTTTGCTGAAGACATCCTCACAAGCTGATGAAATGAGACAATGTGTAAAGTAGAGACAACACCTAACATTATCTTATCCTAAATGTAATGTGATGTGCACTTGTCATTGTGTTTAAATACATACTATCTAATTATATTTATAAATAAAGGCTTAATAAAATTTTAGTATAGAAGTAAGTCTTAGGTCAAACACAAAGAGATTGATTAATCTATTGTGAAAACTAATTTAGTTTATATGTAAATTGATTTTAATATTTTATTAGTATTGAATAGAAATAATAAAATAGAAGGGCAAGGTGAGAAGAATAAAGGAAGGAAAGCAGAGAAAAAGGAGAAAAAGAGAGAGAGAAGAGAGAGCTCTTATGAGAGAGAGAAGGGATGAAATCTCTCGCAAAAAGGAGAGGAAGAGAGAGGAGGAGAAAAAGCTCTCACAAGAGAGAGAAGGGACAAAATCTCTCGCAAAAGGGAGAGAAAGAGAGAAGAGGAGAGAAAGCTCTCACAAGAGAGAGAAAGGATGAGATCTCTTGCACAAGGAAGAGAAAGAGAGAGGAGGAGAGAAAGCTCTCACAAGAGAAAGAAGGGATGAGATCTCTCGCATAAGGGAGAGAAAAAGAGAGGAGGAGAGAAATCTCATGTGAGATAGAGAGAGAAAAGGCTCGTGAGAGAGAAGAGAGAAGGAGAGAGAAGGAGATCGATTGAAAGAGAAAAAGAGAAAGAGATCGATCGAGAGAGAGGGAGAGAAAGGGAGAAATCTCATGAGAGATGGAAAGAGAAGAGACATCTCACGAGAGAGGGAGAGAGAGAAATCAGATGAAAATGAAGAAAGAGAGAAATACAGTCAATCCATTTTTTCAAATGAATGTGTGCTCAAGGATTCACATAAATGACATGAGGTCAATCATGAATGTCTCTAGTTTATTTTAATAGTTGAATACTCATTAATCAGCCTTTAATCTTGGTGATTTCACATTCAAAAATAGAAAAGTACTTGTTATTCACGAAACACCAAGAATATAAATATGTCAAGATTTGACTGAGAAAATTAATAAAAATTAAGTTGAAAATGATTTAACTTGATCTAAGATGAGTTTTGGAAGATTCAAAAGAAAAATAGAGATCATTCAATCGAAATGTGTTTGAAATAGAAATAACTTGTCGTAAAATGTAAATAAATGACAAAAGTAAGTGATGAAATATTGAAAGCGAGAAGTAAATCATTGTCCAAGTTTAGTCTACCTCCTAGGCAACTAGAGACACTAGTGTGACGACTTAGTTTCATCTGATTGTACCACACCATGCCGAAAGTCACAAAAGTATCGTCTGAAAATACTACACTTGTTGGAGAGATCCACCAAAAGAGGGTCGACCATGCTATCATCGTCGTCTAAGGGGAGAAGGGAAGAGTTGACCACTTGTCAGAGGACTTGAGTGTAGTTAGGGGAGGAAGGAACAAGCTTACCGATTGCTAGAGATGTCCATTGCGCAAAAAGAGGAAAGAACAAATTGTCGTATTTTTTACTATCATCGAGATTTTAAAGATAATTGATAATGTCTATTTTACTAGATAATAATTAATTATTATCTTTATGTCCCTAATAGTAATACGTGTGAGAACTTAAGTTCCTAATATCATGGTGCTTCAAGAGCTGCTAGATTAGATGTACTTGATGGCATGCCACATTAAGTGACATAGGATTAACCTACCACGAACTACTACCAACCAACAAGTTAAGTCCTTAGTACCATGATACATCTTTATCCGTTAGATCATCCTTTGAGGCAATGTGTGTTGAGCACCATCAGATTCACAAATTGCCAATCAATCACTTTACGCATCTAGTATCATGATAGTTTGTCAATCAGAGGATCTAGCTAATCTCATGGTGTGGCTCATTACGTATTATTGGATTAGACAACGCTCTAAATGGATGTACTGAAATAGACAAAGGTTAGTCCCACATTAAAAATATTTTAGGTGCATGTGCTAAATATAAACTAATGCTACTCTCTCTCAGTTGAGATCCCTTCTCCTAAAATAAAATAATGCCTAGGACCATCTTGAGAGAAGACAAAAAGATAATTCGCCCTCACATGCACATGTGTGTGTGAGTGCTCCTTGTCCCACAACTAATTGGCCACCAGGACGTGGAAGGGGAGTGATGCACATGTGCGTGGAGCAAATCTTTTGCCACTTGAGCCCAGCTCATAGCTCCCCCAATTTGGGTCTACTTTCTTGATTGTAGTGCCCCTCTAGGTCAACTATCGAGTGCAAATAATCAAAAAAATTACTAGTGGGCAGAATATTTTTATATTTTATATTTTTAAATAATCAAAAAAATTACTAATTATTTTAACTTTAGACTTTTAAAATTAATAATATATCCTATATTTATTTTGCAAATTAAAAAATAAAATAAAATATTAAAACTAATTAAAATACAAAAATCTAATTTTAACATAATGAGAGTCAATCTTGATGTACTTTGTTTGCTCATAAAACATAGGATTTCTAGCAATGAAGATGGTGGCTTGATTATCATAGTGCATAGACATTGGTGTAGGAGATGAGATGCCAAGGCCTTTGAGGAGTGAACTGAGCCACATCATCACTTGTGCTATCTCAACCATGGCACGATACTCAAACTCAGCATTAGAGCAAGATATCACCTTCTGCTTATTAGAACATCACATGACAAGATTGTCACCCACATATGTGCAATAACTAGTAGTGAGCTTGTAATCTCTTTTATCACCAACATATCATACATCTGAGTAAGCTTCAATTTGAAGATACCCATATCTTTAATAACTAAGCCCTCTTTTTTGAGTTCTTTTGATATATGTTAGACCCCATAAAACTCCCTCCTAGTGAACTTGTTGAGATTATTAAATGAATTGACTAAAAACAATCGTGCACACGATATCGAGGTGAGTGATAGTGAGGTAGATCAACTTCCCCAATAACTATCTATACCGATTAGCATCCTCTAAGAGTAGAGATGATGTATCTCAAAAGTGCAAACATGTCTCCATAAGTGACAACTCTAGCTTACACCTAAGTAGTTCAATCTCCTGAAGCATATCAAGAGTATACTTTCACTGAAAAAGAGCAAACTTATCATCTTGATAAGGGAACTCAATCCCAAAGAAGTATTATGAAATCTTCAAATCTCATATATTAAAGTGTTATTGTGAGTATGATTTTATAATTTGAATACTTACTTCATCACTTTCAATCATAAGAATGTCATCTATATAAACAACTAAAATAATAATATTGGATTCAGTAGTTTTTGTAAGCACTGTAAGATCTACAAAATAAGGTGAGAATCTAAATTACGCTAGAACACCACTAAACTTAATGAACCAGACACGTGAACTTTGCTTAAGTTTATAAATGACACGCTGCAAAAGACACACCTTTGATGACTCTTCTTGATCAACATACTCAAGAGATTGCTTCATAAATACTTGTTCCTCAAAGTCATCATAGAGAAAGGCATTGGAAACATCTAATTGATGTAAAGATTTTGTCTGATTTCCTACTAGAGAGAGTATCACTCGAATAGAGTTGAATGGAAACCACTAGAGAGAACATCTCAATATAGTCAATGTCATAGGCCTATGTGAATCTACGAGCAATCAAGCAAACCTTGTGACGTACAATAAATCAATCTAAATTATATTTGATGTGAAAACTAACTTATACGTGACAATATTGCCATCACATAGATGAGATATAAGTGTCCAAGTTTCCTAAGACACCAAGGCATCCACCTCCAAGTTCATGGCCCCCTTCCATTCAAGTACTTATGCAACCTCAACATACGACCATTGAATCGACTTAAAGGCCACGGAAAGAACAAAGGTATGAAAAAAAAGAGAATGGCGGTCATAAGAAACAAAGTGAAAAATGGGGTGTCTCATGAGCAATAAAAGGATGAAGGTCATCTACTTGAATATCATTAAAGATGACCAACGGAGGCTTGTCAACAGAGGGTGAAGACGAATCTGATCCTAAAGTAGAAGAGTCAGATGGTGACAAAGCTGAAGGTATCAAAAGAGGAACTAATGAGGGAGAAATTAGACAAGTAGGAAAAGTAAGAGAAGGATCTACAATGATCACCACAAAAAGAAAATCAAGCGGTGAAGATACAGTGGATCAAAGAGGAGTTGATGTTGGAGAAAAGAAGGGAGACTTATCATGAGAAATAATGGTAGTTGATGTCACACAGCAACAAATATTAAGAAAATAAACTTGATAACCCTTTTGCGTCAATGAGTAACCAACAAAGACCTATTTGAGAGTATGAAGGACTAGTTTAGAAAGAAAAGGAGAGTAGTCTTGAACGAAAGTCATGTATGTAAAGACACGAAGGGGTAAGAAAAAGAGAAAAGAATTAAGTGAAAGACAATGAAGTAGAATGACCCCACCATGTGGAGTGAAAGGAAGCCGATTTTAAAGATATGTGGCTATTAGAAGAGCATCATATCATAGATAGTGAAGAACATTCATCTCAATGAGTAGTGTGCCAACAATGTCAAGTAGTTGGAGATATTTTTGTTCGACAAAACCATTTTATTAGAATATATGTGGACATATGGTTAGATGAAGAATATCATGATCAACACAAAATGTGTAAAGTGAATCTTAAACTAACTTCAAAATATTGTTAGTGCAAAGAATCTTAGGCGTAGAAAAATACTAAGTGATGACCTCAATAATGAAGTGAGCAATTGTGGTGTGAACAAGAGTATGATCTTAAAAAATATAAACAATTCACCCGAATATAGTCATCAACAAAGATAATGCAGTAGCAATGACTTGAGATAAATAGTGTATGAGAGAGGCCCCAAACATCATAATGAATGAAGTCAAAGGGTGTTGTGAATAGAATTGTATCTCAACTCGAATATGAACCACAATAGTATTTACCTCATTGACATGACTCACACACAAATTTATTAAGAGAAAGCCAAGTCAAAAAATTTAAAATTTTTCAAAATTAAAATATCTTAAATAATGATGTCACAAAAGAGATGAAGTGATCGTAGAGGAAATAAAAAAAGCCAAAAGCCCAAAAAAAGATTCATTAGAAATTAGCTCATAGATATCTCAACTATTCTTACACCCCAAATCAATCCTCCATCTAATATACAGATCTTTGAAAGTACAATGAAAAAGAAAAAAATATAACAAAATAAAAGATGACTCAAGTAATGACACTAATAGATAAGATGTTAGCAAAAAATCCAAAAATATAGAGAATCTATGAAGTCAACATGAGGGTTCATTCTCTTAGGTGGACCTATGAGGAAGGAAGGAGGAGAAGAGGCCACGTCACTCATGCACCCCTTCTCCCTTAAGGAAGACGTTTCTCCCTCCAAGAGACACCACTTGCCATCCTTTGGGAGGGGACGCCTCTAACTACCTTCCTCTATTTCCTATAAATACTCAAACTCAAGAATATTGGAAAAAAAAGGTAGAAATTAAATTTGAAAATCAAGAAGATTCTTAGTATACCTCTCATCTCTTGGATTAGGGGTTCCTTCTCCCTCATTCGCCTCTTGTATTAAGGGTTTTTATTCTCTTTCATTCGCCTCTTGGAGTAGGGGTACCTTCTTTTCTTGCCGTCTTGGATTAAGGGGACCTCTCTATCTTTTTCTTCCCCACGTCATCTTCGTTCCATCCCGTCGCCAGCCCTTCCTTTCCTCTCTCCTGCCACTGCAGCCGTTCTGCCTCCTAGCCGTCTGCCCCGTCACCGCCGTTCCGCCTTCTAGCCATCCGCCCTGTCACCAAACCCACCTTTCTTTCCTCCCCACTGTCCCCGCTGTTCTTCCTCTTCACCGCCTGACCAGTCGCTGCCGTTCCGCCTCCTCGCCGTCCGCCCCATCACCAACCTACCGTTGCCACTAGACCCCCTTCCGCCCATCCTCTCATTGTGAAACCCTCTTCCCTTCTTTCTCTCACTGTCGCCACCTACCGACTTAGCCTCCCGTCTAAACGAGACCGCCCTCTGTCTCTCCCGCCGAAACTCTCTCATTTTGCCCCTTTTTTTTCTCCCTCCTCCCTTTAGTCAATATTTAAATTCACCCTCGGTTCTCGCCCTCACGAGAACCCTCTTTCTTCTCTCTCTCGTCGTCGCCATGTACCCCCGACGCCATCTCATTCCGCCCCCTTTTCTCTCTCCACCTTTTCTTTTCTTTTCATCATTATTTTTTATTTCAGCTCACTTCAGAACCTCATTTATAACTTCCGGTCCAAACAGCCCATTCACTTCAAACCACACCAATCCACTCCTTGGTGCAAACCACTCAGTTTGAACTTGGGAAAATCACTAACAAAGCTCATGGAACTCGAACAAATAAGAATCTTCAAGATATCAAAAATCTCTATTGCAAAGGTGTATTAATTTTTAAATTACTTATGAAGTTGGTCATTGTTTTTAAATCTTTGCTCCTAGAATTTGTGAGATTCATAGGATAGCCACCCTTATATGAAAGATTTATGGTCCTAATCTTGGTTGAAAAGTTTTGTTTGATTCTTTAAATTAGATAATTTAATAGGTAATTAATGATTTTAATTCTCTAAAAATTGAGAGATCATCTAAATATTAAGCTATCAAAAAATTCTAATTTAAATCAAATTTAAAGATTAATATGTAGCTCTTTTTAAAGAGATCTATTATAGTCCTTGTCTCGCATCAATTTGAATGAGAGGAATACTGGGGGTAACAACAATATTGTCATGTCTATTGATTAGACAAGTCTGGCCATCGATAATAGTAACTAGTAGATGATGAGGGGTAAGTTAGTATAATAATAAAATAGTAAGTGCGTCGGACATGTGAGTGAAGGCCCCCAAGTCAATAATCTATGGTGAAAATGAAGATACAAGAAAAGCATGTGACCTAACATAGAAGGATATGGAAGTAAAGCTAGATTGGCTCAAGAATGAGCACTAGTACTTAATAAGTCTTCATTATCATATGTTAATGATTAATAAATAATATAGTTTTAGTCTTATCTCATAATAACTAGACTTATATTTGTGTTAAATTATAAAAATAGTTTTTAATTAGTTAAGTGCTTTTTTAACTAATTATGTGATTTTATTTGAATTTACATAATTTATATAATTTTATTTTTGAGATAAATAAAGAAAAATAAAATAAAATTAAAATATAAAAAATAGAAATTTAAATTTTCAAAATTCTATTTCAAGGAGATTAATTTTTATAGATTTGCAAAAGTGAGAAAAATTATCATGAAATGTTAAAGCTTGAAAATCCTAAACATAAGAAAGGGTAGATTGGGGGTTCATTATTCCATGATACACGAAAATCTTGTGAAATATTTGACACAAAATTAATACCCCCAAGTCAACCAGGCCTACAAGCGGGTCAAAAGCATAGTTGGGCGAAGCCACATGTAGGGGCTCAAGCGACTAAGGATGGACCGATAGGGGGCACGTGTGCATCACTCTCCTTCCATGACACTGGTGGCTAGTTAGGTGTGGGGCTAGGAGTGATCATACACATGCAAGAAATGACTCATTGATTCCCAAATCTCATATTACTATATATTCATCATAACATTCAAAGTATAATTGATGTGGGACTAAACTAGTGGTCACATTTTCTTCAGAATGTTTTTGATAATTTTAATACCTAAACTACCCCTTATTTATAACAACAATATACTATGATGATGTTATTGTATAAGAATATTTGAGTACTTATTTCACTCTCTCTCATGTAAATGAATGATAAGCATGGGTTCGAATCCTATCAAAGTCAAAATTTATATTTTTTATTTGATTAAATTATGATTTTTCTACAAGTCGTTGGTGAAGAATTAAGCAGCCATACTCAATCATTAGTGAAAATCTCGTTAACACAATTTGTGGAACATCATTACTAAAATTACTAACTAAATTCATGATAAAAAGATTATAAATCTGTTGAATAAATCATTTCTGATTGATCGATGTACAAGTCATTGTTGAGAAGAGTAAGATTCGCCTAAAGATGGGTCATCACCTCCTAAGAGCATACTAGATGTGATGAAGAGTCTCCTCTTGCTGTATAGACTTAAGAATGAAGCTCTCTAACACACACCCCACCTCCATCTATCTCATCTCTGTCGGCTAACAACTATCGGAGAGTTGTAAAGTCGTCATTTTTCTATTCTACTAGGTGACAACTATCACAGACAATTTAATGACCTACTACATTGATTTCTAGACTTCGAAAAACTATCTAAAGATTACCTACATTATTGTTGTCCAAAGAGAGTCTTTGAGGCTATGGACATTGCACAACAATCTTTCTGAATGTTCAAAATTCCAACGCATCACCGTCGTGAGACTAAAACTCTATTTTACTATTTTTTTAACTAGTTTAACTTTCACCATTATTTTTTAGACTTTGAAAGGAAATCTAGTGAATGCCCAAGTCACCCACATCCAAGCAAATCTTTCGAGCCCATAGACATCATTCGATGATCTTCCTAAATACATAGAATTTTAGCAATCACTATCTCAAGGCCAAAACTCTACCTTTCTTGGTTTCAACTTGATTTTTATTTTATTTAGTGATAATTTGTGTGATGTCAAGTTTCTAAACTATTTTTCATTCAATTACAATTTTTCTAACTTTATAGATCTTAATTTGACTAATTAAATCATCTATAATCACTTATGTAAGAATCATCGAGTGAAATTATGTTTTTGTCTAATTAGCATTCATTAAGCACTAACGTCTACATCCTCATTTACTTTTTCCATGAATTTTAAATATATTTGATTTTTATTTCTTAGTCTAAAATTTATAAAAAATTATATTCTTTATAGAAAATTTTAAATTATTATTTAATATTATATTACATCCCTATGATTGTCTTGAAAAAAAATCACTATTTTTAGAAGTTTTATTTAATTATAATTGATATATTTATTTATAAATACTTCTAAATATCTAAAAATTAGTATGTTCTAGTTTTATAAATTTAAATTTGCATGAGTTATTATGCAACAACTAAGTCATGTTAGTACCCCTAGATTGGCGTAATGCTTCATACTCAATGGAGGTCAATGTCACTTGAAAGATTGGAGATGAAATACTAGTTTACGTTGGAGAAGTTGGTAAAGGAGGCAAGAGAGCTAGTTGGGCAAAGTTGGGCTTCTCGAAGTCTTTCCAACATTTGTTGGACGAGTGGTTCTACTTGCTGTAGTAGATGTATGGAGGAAAAGAATTGCGGCCCTTCCCTTATAGCGGACAACCATTCTGATCTCGAGGCAAGAGAGTCATGTGGCACTCGAGTAGTGGAGATAGTCATCACCAAAGTAGATGTGCCACTGGTGATAGTAAGAGAAGTATATGTACTCACACAAAGTATAGTGGAGAAAATGTGAGAGATATCAAGTACCTAGTCTCCGAAGAAGATCGTCACACAAATATGAGAGGTAATCAATGAGAGAAGTCCACTCATATAGACTTTGGCAAGAAACTTTTGATAGTAGCACTCAAATGTCTAGAGGTTAGTGGTCAGAAATTAATAGATGGCAAGCTCCTATATTAGGGCCTGGAGATGACTAAAATGAGCTTGAAGTGGGAAGTCACCCTACTTGCAGATAATAAGTGACTTGAAGTCTCAACCATACGACTAATATTCGTTTAATTGGCATACATATTCTCTAAGCATCCAAGTAAGGATGATTGAATCGAGCTAAGACCATAAAGTAAAAGATGGATCAATGAGGTCAAGTGGATCAGTCGACAAGTGGTGGAGAAGGTTGTGTGACGTCAAGAAGTAATCAAATTTGGAGGCCCACAATGCGTAATTATGTCCATTGAAGATATATGTCAACTAAGTGAGTTGCATCATGATGGAGTTTTGTGGAGTAGCTGACCCGATCAAAGTAAAAGCAACATCTAGCTTAAAAGCTAGCAGAGAAGGTGCTTGGGACATCGAGGAGTCACCCATCAGATCCATAGATCAAGATTAGTAGGAGATGAGATGATATTGGGAGGGGATATCCCTAAGGCCACGTACGGCACCTGAGGTGGTGCGCAAGGTGCTGGGAGGTGGTGTGCCAGGTGCCAAGAGGTGGCATGTAGGGCACCTGGAGGCGACATGTAGGGCGTCAAGAGGTGACACACAGGGCACTGAGAGGCGATGCACGAGGCACCAAGAGGTGATGCATGGGGCACCGAGAGGCGACACACGAGCACCAGCGGGAGTGCACAATTGCCTACAGCCAGTGCAGGTGCAGCAACACATCAGGGGGGCATGCAGGACGGCACTAGGCAAGCGCTAGACAAGCACACAAGTGCACATGGCAGGAGGCATGGCAGATGTGCAGGGCTATGCAGACTAAGCCTTGAGTAGGTGTGCAAGGCGACACTATAGGAGATTGTGCTAGGAGAGGATATGTGACATTGAGACAAGAGAGGAGGTGGAGATGAGGTAGTGAAAAAATCTTATGGCTCTGATACCATGTCAACGAAAGGAAGAGAAAACCTTAGAATTCATATATTGAAGAAGAAGAGTACATGAGATTATATAGAAGAGAGGAAGAAAGAAAGAGAGAGAGAGAGAGAGAGGAAGAAGTGGAGATCATGGAGGAAGAATAAGGATGCATAGAGAATAAGTCTAAAATAGGCCTGGTGGGCCTAGTGAGTTATTCTAACACACCTTATTTAAGGTTTGGTCACAATGAAAATTATCACCTCCAATCAGTGAGATGGTTGAGAAGACCCCATCGCCCCTTGCTAGTAGGATGGTCAAGAGGACCATCATCGCCCTTAGTTAAAGGGTTGGTCAAGAAGACCCCACACTCCCAATCAAAGCTTATAGGCCAATGCACCTCCATCACACATCATCTAGGTGCTGCCACCCTTCTCATTCCTCTGCTTCACCCCAATGAACCATTGCCTTCTTTGGTGTTGTGTTACCCCAATCATCAAACACCACTACCTCCATCATCGCTTTGTCTTCTCAATTGCCAATCACCACTACTTGCACTATCACTACATCCTCCTAGTTGCTATATGCCAATGAATGTTGTGCCACTGCCTTCCACCATCACTATGTCGAGGCCAAGTCCTCAATGTTCGTCCCCTATAGTGGCTCCCAACAGCACTGCCACCTCCACCCCCCACCTTCACCAACAATGCCTCTAGCGCCATCACTCACCCACCACTGCAACATCCTACTGCCACCGCTCGCTCGTCACCTCCGTTCACCTATCACCTCTGCTCACTCACCACTACCACCTTCCACCACAATGGCCAATGCCACCATCACCTCAAGCCCAGCATTAAATCACAGCTAAAAAGCCCAAATTATAGCTTCAGCAATGACCATCTTAAGATGGTCACATGTTGGGCCCACTCACTTGTCTCGCTAGCCTAACCCACTAACCCGCAAGCCCAACCCACCTAAACCATTGGCCAACCACTTGGACCACCCAACCTAGTCCTCTTGAACCATTAGCCCAAGCCCACTCCTACCACAAAGTTAGGCACGTAAAGTACATTAGTGGATTGTCCCACATCAAATGACCTTAGTTATGCCTATTAAGCCTAACCTAGTGGATTGTGCCGCATCCCCTTTAGTTACTATTTACTTCTAAACCTTCTTCTCTAGTAATGATTGTCTATGATATCTTGTTTAAAGATTTAAAATCAATTAACACTTCTTCTTTCAAGGTCTTACTTAAAAGAGGTTGTTTGGCTTATCCTTAGTCCATGTTTCCTACTGATGAGTTACTATCCAAAATATGCACTTCTAACTTTAATTCATATATATCAACTTAATTATTTCAACTCATAAGCAAATTTTCCTGCATATTGTATTTAGAGATTCTTAATTGTTTAACATACATTTTTGTCTTAAAGGTTAAGCTAAAATAATATTGTTGATCTTGTCATTTTGTTGACAAACTTTTATGATCTATTATTGTCTAGAGTATGTGAGACTAACCTATAGTCTTTGTTGACTTTGAAACATGTAGGTTTCTCGTATGTGATTTTTGAAGTTTCTTTTTAAATATCCATGCTCCTTCAACAAATTATCTACTCTTAATGTTAGGTTTAAGTTTGATCGTTTCTATTTTTGTCATTTTCTCCACAAATGACGTGCCATCACATAAATTAATTGACAACAATATTTTTGCTTCTTCTTTGTTTTGTGAATTCAACTACCATATGAATCATATGTTTGAGTCTCACTTCAATCACTAATCATGCATTTTTACTTTGAAACATTTAACTAATTTTTCATATTTTTGTTATAGTACTTTAGATTTCAAATTCTGCTCATATTGAGGTTTGAATATTTTGTCATAATTTTTTCAATCTACAAAAGTTATTTCTTGAGTTTGAATCTTGTTGGTGACTATGATTTGTCAGAACATACATAAGACTTTGTCACACATGTTAACACATGTTATGTTGTACTTATATTTGGAGAATATTATATTACATTACTTCAATACAAATGATATCTCAAACTCAACTCTTTGAATTTGTTGTTAGTCATAAGATTGCATAGAGCATCATCAATGTATATGATTTGAATGTTTTTCGATAATTAATTATGATGTATATAAATTAATTATATTTTAGCTTATTCAAAAATAATATATAAAAAAAATATTACATGATGTTAAAATCCATTATTGTGCCGACACAAAGGACATCTATAGAGAGTCCACATAATTTAGTATTCAATATATCAAACAAAGAAAATATTATTTTTGTAACTTGAAGTGATAATAATATAACTTAAATGCTGAGAGAGGCAAGCTCTAATTCTAACAGATTACCTTTAGGTAATCTTATGATTCAACTCATTGCCATAGAGATACTCTATTATGCACATATTGTAAAATACCTTGCCACACGACTGTTGAAAGCGCAATATGAGACCTCAACAACATGTAATATAAATCAAAGATAATTGCCATATTTATATGTAGTTGAACAACAATAAAAAATAATAATTACTGAATAAAGTCAATCAAATTAGGAAGAGATCAATAAAGTGCAATCATCTTGAGCCTCATGCTCTCTCACACAATCAAGTGAGTTTCATTTCTTACTGGATTAAATGATTCATCTCTTTTCTTTTTGAAACTAGATGTTTTATAACATGCATATATGATTGTACTCATGTAATAGATCTTTATGCTCAAACATAAATTTGACATTAATACTATTCTATTTAAATTTTATTTCAGGACTAACATAGAATTTAGAGTAACTATAAAGAGGTTTAGATCAGATAAGGAATGTTTTAATAAAATTATAAACTCATATAAGAGAGATATTTCATGAGTCAGTGTCAATATAAAACAAAAAATATAGTAATAGAAAGGAGAAAGATCTACTTATGGTAATACAAGCTCTACTTGTTAAAGCCATGTACCTAAATCATTTTAGGGTGAAGCAACTTTAATCATTAGTCACCTCATCAATCTTTTACCTTTAAAAGTCTTAAGATTTTAAAGTTCAATAGTAATATTATTATCCTTGTACGATAGTATTATCTCATAAAAAAGTAATCTTGCTCCTATAATATTAGATGTGTAGTGTTTGCATGATTAACATAAGGATAAATTAGATCCCATAGCTTTTAAATACATTTTTATTAGATATTCTCAAAGTCAAAAGAGTTGTAGATATTATCCCCTCCATCAAAGAAAATCTTTCTTCCAATTAGCATTACCATTGGTAAAAAAATATTCTTATTTTACTCAATCTTTTCTTCAGGGGGAGAATCAAATCGATGAAGATATGAATGAGATTTTTTTACTCCTCAATCCAATACTTACACAACATATTTTTAACGTTTTCAGTGACTAATCTTATTCATAATTACTCCTAAAAAAAATTAATATTTTACAATGTGTATTTACAAAAGAAGACATATGTCCTCTAGGTATGTACAAAATTCTCACTTGGATATGCATGTCCAAAAACTTCATTCAAATATTATAAACAAACTAAAAACTTTACCTTTGTTAATCTCACTTGAAACTGAATTTTATACCAACAGTAATAATTATGGAAATAAGAACTTACACATTGTCATTAGGGAAATGACTAGATAATACAGCAAGAAATTTTTGTATCATTTTTCACATTTTATGATCACCTATCACTATCTTATAAAGCTTTCTTTATCAATTGAAGTATTGTTATTATCTCTATCAATGTTGCCTAGGCATTATTTCTTGATGTCCTTAATTTTGATACTACAAGTGAAAACTTATTTATTAAGTATTAATTGAATATTTCATCAAGGCTTGTGTTGAAGGTCTAATATTTCTAAAAAGTATTTAGTATGTATAATGTTAATGTTCCTATGATCCTATGGGTAAGAGTCAAATCTAAAAAATTTGATCATAGAAATCTTTATATGTTGGAGCTAATGTAGCATGTAGAGTTTATATATAGGTATAGAAATCCAGTGTCAATGTACATAATTAAATATCTAAAAAATATAAAACTATAAAAGTCACCAGTAAGTATTGAACCTAAAATCTAGATGATGACAAGTTGGAAGCTTCAGTGAAGAAACACTTAAAAATTTACAAAATATCAAGTAAGGTGTAAGTCTCAAACTCAAAATTTGGATGATGGTGAATAGAAAGCCTCAATAAAGAAAATACTTAAAAATTCACATAATATCAAGTCAAGTGCAAGTCCCAAACTCAGATTCTAGACAATGATATGTCAAAAATCTTAGTAAAGAAGTATCTAAAAAATCATGAAATTTTAAAGTCGTCAACAAGTTTCAAACTTGGAATCAGGACACCAACACATCATAAATCTTAATGAAAAAGTATTTGAAAAATTATGAAGTATCAAAGTCACTAATGTCGTTGCCACACATTCTAGATGATGACATGTCAATAGATTACATGGAGACATTGATAGATCAAACAAGCTTATTTGGACTCAACCTTAATAGTAAAAATGTTTGGACTCAACATATGAGAAAATATAAAGTTTCAAAGAACGAAAAAGGGGAAGGTCATTAACACACCTTATGGATAATGGGAAAAAAATTGAAATTACATAACATTTTTCAAGACAAGAAATGATTGAAGAATGTTGAAAATAAAAAGAAAAAGTTTGTGAAGAGAGGTCAATGCTCTAATGACTATCAACACTTCAATGAATATCCATCTCTCTATCCATCAAGATCTAACTATCATGAGCTTCAATAGAATACAAAACATTGCATCAATCATTCATTTGACATTAGTGATTCCAATAAATATTCATCTCAAATAGTGATGTTCTCCATCGGAACCTTAAGATACTTGGGTTGTGAGGGGAGAGGTGTTTGGGTTAAAGCTCATGATGTTGACAGCCTAGTTGAGTCCATGAAGGGTAAGGTCTCTAAGGAGATTATAATGATGTGGTTGGGTTATTGATCCCATTAAAATCAATGTGTATTTCTAAGTGAAAATAATAAACTCTAGTTAGAATAATTCTCCAAGATTGGAAATATCTAAATGAGGGGTGAACCAGTATAAAAAGGCTTGATGTGTCTAGTGGTGAAGAGAGAATTATGAGAACTTGAATTGAGAGAGACAGCCTTGAGGGAACATGTATAGAGGATGAGAGAGTGAGAGAACCTATGTCAACATATCTATTACTAGATATAAAATGAAAACTGACAAGAAGTTGTAGCAACCCAATTCACCTACCTTCTTAGTATTTCACTTAGCCTACATTGAACCTAACTGGTGAGAAATGGAAATGAGTTATGAATGAAGAGATAGAGACTTTTGAAAAGAATAACATTTGAGAATTAGTGAAGTTACCAACTAGAAAGAAAGTCATGAGCTACAAAGAAGTATATATAATAAAATACCAAGCATAAGAATTTTTAAAGAGATGTTAAGTTTGATTGATCATTCAAAGGCATACTCAAACATATGGGATTAATTATTTAGAGACCTTTGCTCCTATAGCAAAATGAATATGGTCATAATTTTTTTGTCACTAGAAATAAACTTTCATTGGGATCGATAACATCTTAATGTTAAAAATAGATTTTTTACATAGAGGATTTGAAGAAGAAATCTATATCAAAATGAAAATAATTTAACTCATAATAGAGTGTGTAAATCTAAGAAAATATTTATGAACTTCAAGAATCACCTTAGATTTGATTTGACATGTTTACAGTAGTTAGGACTATAAAGCAATGTAAATTTATCAATGAGATCATACATTGTTTATTAAACACTCACATTTAAAAAGAGTTACAACACTATTAAGGTATGTTGATGAGATAATTGTGACCATAAATGAAGAAAAAGAAAAAGAATACTTGAGCCAATACTAGTTAAAGTGTTTGAGATTAAATATGAGAATACAACTTGGAATTGAAGTTATTCACTAGAAGAATGACATTTTTTTATCTCTTAATGGAAGTATATTATGAATATATGATAGAAAACCAGTAAAACTACGTGTAAGTTAACAAATAGTGTAATATGCATAAATCTCAAACTTAGCAAAGCTAATGAAGATCTAGTTGTAAATAGAGAAATATATTAAAGACTAGTTGAGTAATTGATTTACTTGTCTCATAAATAACAATATATAATTTATGTAGTCAGTGGGACTAATAAACTCATGCATAACCCTAAAAAAATTGATGTACAAGTCATCAAGTATTACATTATCTACAAGGGGCTCCCAAGGAAAATTATCTTATTCAGAAAAATAAAAGGTCAATACATGAAATCTATATTGATGTTGATTGTGCAAGATCTGCAGTAGACAAAAGATTTACTTGAGATATTTCACTTTTATTAGTAGAAATCTTATCACATGAGAAAGTAAGAAACAAAATGTGATGACAAGGTAAAGTACAAAGTAAAAGTTTGAGTTATGTTTCAAGATATATTCAAGGTATTGTGAGTGGAGATTGTTTTGAAAGACTTAACTATGAAGAGGTATGGTCCAATGATATTTTATTTTGACAACAAATCAATAATTAGCATTGCACATAATTCAATTTAATATGATAAAATTAAACACATTAAGATTAATCAATACTTTATCAATGAGAAAATAGATAGTAGATTGAATTATATGCCATACATGCTTATAAGTGACCAAGTTACTGTTATATTCACTAATGACTTGGACATCATTACATTTCATCACTTCTCATCCAAGTTAGGAATAGGTGATATACATTCACCAATTTGAAGGAGAGTATCAAAATATGATGTATGCTTTACTTTGTTCCATGTATCTCTTCTTTCTTTTTACCTTTTCTTTTTCTATTTTCGTTATTATGAACCAAACTACCATCGCCTTGACTTATCTTTTTCACTCTCATATTAACGAGGTGATATAAAAAGCCAATATCATCTGAAACCCTAAATAAGAATGAGCGAACAAAGTTTTAGGGCTACATTGATTCTCCCTTCCTTTATTCAGCTCTTCCTTTGTCTTTGCTGACGTCCTTGAAGATTGGAGAAGGTCAACTAAGTATTTTTGGAACTTGACACAGTAGTAGCTAGTGCTATTAGACAAAGTGATATCCTATTATTGTCAAGCAGAAAATATGATGACAATTATTTATACTATTTTAAAATATATCCTTCCACCAATAAAGGTAGGGAAAACATTGTTTTTAAAAGGCTTTTAAAAAGTGGCTTTCTTGGGAAAATAGGCCATAAATAAAGGGTTGACCAATTTTATTATAATTTTAAAAATTCTTAATTACCCGGGCTCATCGTCAGAGGAAAAACCGTGGGAATCAAATGGATTTACCGGTGAGCCCGGCCCGCTAACACGTTTCCAATGCCGGCTGGGACACGGTCGGTGATGTTCGACGGCGTTATTTTTGGGAGCTACGTGTCGGCAGATCTGACTGTCGGAGCTCGCTAGCTGCGGTGGGGAGCGAGTAGCAAGGCCAAGCCGGTGCCGCTGCCTCCTCGCGGGAAGAGGAAGGGTGGAGGAGAGTCGAGGAAGATGATGTCCAGCGGGGGCTACACCACCATCGATGACCAGAAGATCTCCGGATCTGTTCCCGTAATGCCCTTCCTTTGCCTAGCAGCTCTCCCGTTTGTGTTCTTGCCCTTTGCTTGCGATTTCACGGACTCTTGACGTCTTTCCTGTCTTAATTTGCGGTCGTAGGCTGTGGTCTCCGGCGCGGATCACGTCGGCGTCAAGTTCTCTGGTTGGACCGTTCGTTTTTCTGGGATTAATTTCCAGTTTTTTTTCTAGATTTTCCTTTCACATACAACAAAATTGAGGATTCCCTACTGAACTTTTCATCATTATAGATTCCAATCTCCAGACTTTTCCGCCCTCCGAGGCGCAGGGAAAGATCTCTGGGGTGTTTCGCCCTCCTCCAGATGCAGATGGTTAGCGCAGATCATATTTCCCCTCTGGTTCCCCTTGCGAATCTTCTAGTTTTTTCTCCTGAGATTTTGTTCTATTTCCTAATCGGGAGGTTCCCTCTCGTAGACACATTCTCAAAGCCAGCCCCTGGAAGTTCCTCGGATGGGCCTCAGACCGGCGGCTGGATGAGCAGGCTCACAATCGGATCTTACAAACCTTATTTTGATGTCGACACATCTGATGTGTTGGAAAGGATCAAAGATTCTCTATTCCCATTCAAGGCTACCTTTACCGAGAAGACAGCCAACAATCCCGATTTGTAAGACAAACAGGAACTTGCCTCGGATTTTTCACCCTAATATTATTTTTATTATGTCATAACCTTTTTATGTCAATGTTGCATTTCCATGAGGTTAATGGGAATGCTTTAGGTGAATTTTCCAGCGCAAAAACAGATTTGTTTTACTTTGAATCAACTTTGCTGAGTTACATGAGGCAAACCTGCACGAACAAAAATTTCCTTGAAAAATATGAACGTTGTTTGTTCTTTGATTCTTAATATTTATGCTATATATCCTTTTTTGGTTAACATCATGAGCATGCAGCAAGTAATGAGAGGTACTTGCATGAGCTTTAATGTGGAAGCGGATGCTTGGATTTTTTTTTAATATTAAAGAGAAGTAAACTCATGCCATTAATTAAGGTAAATGCTATTATTTTTACTGATCACCCTAGTCTATATATTTTTTGTGAGTAGTGTCCCTCTGCCATTCATTTGTTTCCCTTTGAATCAAAGCTCTCTATTAAAACAGTAGTCTAAACTAATATCTCTAGCCCTCCATAGATGGGAAGACCTACTTATCAATGTCTCTTTGTGCATCTTATCATCTCAATGAATGAGGGAGTTCGTTTTCCAATTCGTGACAATGAAGACTGAGGTTGTATTCGTAAAGCCTTTAACATGGCCTCTCTGTTTTCTGAAGGCAGCATTATCAATGGTGTCATATGCAGTAATACATGGTGTTGTTCCCTTAGGAATTGGGTCATATCTTGATCTCTGGTTAGCCTGAAATTAATGTTTTCAAGTGGGGACACTACCAAATATAGAGTGCTCTCGCCATATCCTTTTGCTGAATGCCAACAAAAAATGCATCCCCGAGACTGATTGATTATATGATCATGCTCTCGTATTGGATAACAGTGGTTGCACGGCATCCCATTCCATCTGGTACCATAGAAATAGTAGTAAGGTATAGAAAGGCATAAAACATTCACAAACAGGCTGTGGAAAGGTGTAGTGGATAGATGATGGGTCATGTCTAATCATACACAGGAAAGCCGATACGCAACATGGGCACTATGAAGATGACAGATTATCTATTCCAAGATGATGGGAGCAGGAGCTCATTTTGGTTTGAAAGAAATGGAAGAGATGGGATTCAACGGCTAAAAGCCGAAGTGGAAAATGCCTCGGATGATGTTTCGAATGATACAACCCCGTGTCTGTCTGAATCTAAAGAAAACTTTGTATCAGGAGATGACATAAGCATGTACCTGAAGTACAGGCTGATGTGGAAAGATGGTTCAGAGGTCCGTCCACTATATATCCGCCGCCATAATTGAATTCGAATCTAGTGAGCATTGTGATATGCTATACACTTGTTCCACCGTAACCCCAGACCCTCCATTTGGGCGACCATGGTCAGGTTTGTTGAGTATCTCCGTCCTACTACTGAGGAAATGAGTCCAGAAAATGTGGATTTGATCTCCTCAAAAATGTGAGACTTCTGTTTCCTTCCTGTACCAGACACCACTCCATGCCTGGGAAGCCCAACAATGTGATCTTGGTCTTGGACAGTCTCCTGAATTGCCGCCTTTGTTGCTCCACCACTTCCATGTCCAGCACCTTGAAACCCAAAACACTACTATCAGATCAAGCCGTCATCATCCATGTTTAGTAACACAGAATCAGAAAGGGAATGGTGTCTTGTACATAGCTCACCTGCTCTGCGAGCATAGCCTTTCTATATTGATCTCAGTCCTGCTACCGTTTCTGATGAGTTTTACCAGAAACAGTCGATTGATCTCCGTTGTGATGGGTTTTATGAGATAAACATTCAGTTGATCTCAGTCCTGCTATCGTTTCTGATGAGTTTTATGAGAAAACATTCAATCAGTCTTCTCCGTTCTGATGAATGAGCTTTATGAGAAGACATTAGACTGATGCTGCTATCCTTTCTGATGAGTTTTATAAGAAAACACTCGATTGATCTTAATCCTTCTACCCTTTGGATTGATCCCAAATTTTCCGATGTGAGTTTCCTGTGTATATTCACAGCTTTTTGTCCCTATTTAGGCTGTTCTTGGTCTGGTTCCCATCCCCAAGAACAATACTTCTAATCCATTTATTTCGATTCCAAATGCGAAGGTACGGGCCCTTCTGGATCTGCACGACGCTGATATTCGTGGTGGCGGCAATCAGCGCGTTCGTCGCCTACCTAGCGCACAAGTGGCAGAAGAAGGCGTGGGACTACGACATCAGCCTGGTCACTTGGTCGGCAGGGATCTTCTACGGCTATGTGTCCCTCGTCCCCCTCGGTCTCTACCTCATCCTCAAGTACTTCTCAGCACCCTCTGGCCTGGTCCAGCTCTGGTGCCTCTATGGCTACTCCCTCTTCATCTTCATCCCCGCCTCTGTAAGTCTCTCTCTCTCTCTCTCTCTCTCTTTCTCTCACACACACACACTCACTCTCTATCTCTCTATCTCTCTTTCCCCATCTCTCACCCAACCCTGTGGAACCCAGTTATCTCTCTCTCACTCTTTCTCTCTCCCTCCCTCAAGCTTAAAACGGAATCTAGGCTCAACCCACTGGAACCCAGTTATCTCTCTCGCTCTCTCTCCTCATCCCAAGTTTGCTACTGAAAGGGGCTCTCTCTGATGGGCTACGTGTTATGTTCATTTCTTGGTAACAGTGCCTGTCGGTGGTGCCCGTGGAGGTGTTCAGGTGGGTGGTGGCCGGTGTGGCCGGGTTCACATCGGCCGCCTTCGTGGCCCTCAACCTGCGCACCCACATCATGTCCGCCGGCGAGCGCTGGTTCCTCATCGTCGCCGGTATCTTCTTCCTCCAGCTGGCCCTCGCCGTCGTCCTCAAGTTCTACTTCTTCACCATCACCGTCGGTGCAAGCAGTAGCTGAGCCAAGAAGAACCCCCCCCCGCCGCCCCCCCACCTCCACGGTGTTGCCCGTGGAGGTGTTCATTGGGTGGCTGGTCAGTGCAATCCCTATTTTTGCTCCCCCACCTCTTCTGCTCTCTCCCTCTCTCTTCATTTTACTCGTATATGATGCTGGGTTAGAGCGAGAGAACGCCCCCAAACTCTTCTCTCTCTACTCCACTGACTTTTATTATTAATGGGTCGTCCTTCTGATGTGCATAACGATAGAGAGAGAGAGAGAGAGGGAGAGAGAATGATCACAAATCGGGCGAGTAAATCAACTTTAGATTGAATCAGGGAAACAGAAAGCACACATTTTTACATGATCACTCGGATTAAATTGAATCAGTCAATCAGAAGACAGATTTCCTCCTGTTCGTGGAGAGGATCCTCTGCGCGCTGCCGAACCTGCCGATGATGGACGGAGGAGCGGCGGCTTCTCGCGAGGCGAAGGACTTCATCTTCATCAGCGGCGAGCCCACCACCAGCCTTTTCTGGACGCTGAAGCACAGCTTGCCGCCGGCGGGCTGGGCGGCGCCCCCGCCGCCCGCCGACGACATGTTCCTGTTAGCCGCCGGGCTCGAGAGGAAGCGCAGCCTCTGCCGCGGTGAGGCCATGGAGGGGATCCTCGACCTCCACTGCCCTTGCTGAGGCGGGCTCGAGAACTTGTTTCCGCTGGCGGCGGCGCCGCCTCCACCGCCGCGGGCTCCCGCTTTCCCGTCCGGCGTTCCCAGGGGCATCATCATCACCGATCTCCGCCGGGGGATCCTCAGGACGGAACCAGCAGTGGCAGCAACTTCGCGGCTGAAGGCGAGGCTCAGCCTCGCCCGGGGGCGATCGCCGGCGCCGCCGGGCACGGCAGCGATGGAGGCTCTCCGCCGTGACTGGCCGGCCGCCGGCGCCGCCGCTGGTCGGACCACGGGAGCCAGCAAGATCCTGCGAGCCTTCATCAGCGGCGGCTTCCCAGTGGCGCCGCCGCCTGCTCCGCCGCCATTATCGAGCTTCCTCTTCACCGAGGGGAGATTCTCCTTCTCCGGCACCGGCGCCAGCCAATCGCCGCCGCCACCGCTGCCTCTGGGCTGAGCCGGCGGCGGCAAGTTGCTCGAGATTCTTCCCAGGGGCTGCCGCCGCTGGTTCGCCGGAGGAAGGGGCGGCTTGTTGTGGAATCTGTTCCCGTCTTCCTGGTGCAGATGCCTGGCCTTCCTCTCTTCAGCCAGCTGGTTTTCAAGATCTCTGAGCTGTTCTTTCACCAGTTCTCAGATTCAGCCAAAAACCCAAAACCAAAAAAACAAAAAAAACTCAACTTTATGAAGATCCGAATTCAGTCGAATTACCTTCTCCTTGAAGACGTTCTCCCTGGAGGCGTACTTGACGTGCAAGAGCTGCAGGGTATCATTCAACCGAGCCCTCTCCTTCTCCTCCTGCCGGAGCTTCTCCGCCTTCAGAGATATGGCCATTCCCCATCGTCAGTCTTCCCTCCATCTCAGAAGATCCCACAAGAAAATCAAAAAGTCCCTCACCATCTGCTTGAACTTGAAAGATTCAGACGGGTCCGCGTGTTTGCGTGCGGGGCCCTGCTCGATCCCCCTGACTCGGGTGGCGAAGTTCAGAGAGCAGAGGGTCTCTCCCAGATCCGCGGAGGAAGGGCTGATCTGGACGAACATGAGAGTCTTGCAGTCTCCCCCTGGAAGAACACGTTGATTTGACTTTTTATCAGATGAAGATCTAGACCCAGCAGATGAATGGAAAAAAATTGCAGAAAGGAAGGTGAGAGTAGATACCCAGAGAGCTCTGTAGCAAATGGGTCAACTTCGAATTCCTACGGTTTCAACAATGGTCCATGTTAGAAAGAGAGTGAGAAGGGGGAGAGGAAGGAAGAGAGAGAGAGAGAGAGTGTTTGGGTTTAGGAATGTGCCTGTAAGGTACGTGCGGGTTCTTGGAGGCAAGGGCGGCGATGACGTCCCCGAGTGCGGAGAGAGACCTGTTGATGAACTGCGACTCCTTCAGTCGCTCTCCTTCAACCTCAATCTTTCCCACGCGCTCACTCCCTGCCAGGTCCACCAGCCACAGGTGGCTCCTAGTCTTCGCTCCATTCATTAAGTTCTCCCCTCTAATGGTCACACGAACCAGGCTGCAAGCAGGAAGAGCAAATCTCCATTAAAGAATAAGAAAACCCAGCAAGAAGAAGAAGAAGAAGAAGAAGATTTTTACCTGTGAGAACGGCTGCTGAGTTCATTTGCATTGGTGGATCCGACAGATCTGTTCCTCGCGCCAGCTTGAAGCAGCTCCCAAACTCCATCAATGCTGAAAGTTTGGGCTTCGACGAGACCAGGGACCTCCTGGGTTCCCTCGGCAGCTTGCTTCACTTCCAACCTTCGTGGATTGGAGGAGACAGAAAATTCACGTCGTCTCCATGATTCCAGACAGAAATTCACATTCCGGGCTGGGTTGCAGGGTTTGCTTACTTTTTGGATGGAAGATTCGGGTTCTCCGGCAAGAGATCTCTGATCCTCTCGTTGTAGACCTCAAGCATGCTCACGAAGAACTCGTACCTCATCAGGGAGCTCCTCTCTTCCGAAACCCTAAACAACTCTTCCAGCGTCCTGTAGTTGACGCCTCTGTTCTCCAGAGTCCCTTCCATTGTGAAGGTCTTCCCGGTGCCCGTCTGCCCGTACGCAAATATGCAGGCGTTGTACCCGTCCAGCACAGACATCACCATGGGCCTCGTCTCCGCAAAGACGGCCTCTGCGAACGAAGAAACAGGGAGTTCTCTCTCATCATCAGATTAAAGAACTTCTGGGTTGGCGGTAATTCTAGGAGAGCAGCCATTAACGAGAGCTCTGGATCTTCTACCTTGGTCGTCCTGAGGGCCGAAGACATGATCAAATTTGAACTGCTTCCTGGAGTTCTCGGTGGTCAGTATCTGCAGCTCTGAGTCCTGCGATGGGTCAAATTCGAAAACCGAGGAATGACCCTTGGAGAGTTCTTCAGAGTTCATCGGCCTGCATCTGCAGAAGACCCTGATGTTGCCCTTCAGCTCGATTACTTCGTTGTACAGGCGCTTCCGCTCTGCCCATAATTCTGCGTACTTCCTCGTTAGGGTTTCATGTTTGGGCGCCGCAGATTCTTCAAGAGATTTCTTCTCCAGCCATCTCTTCACGAGATCGTTGTACTTTGTACCTGGAATTTCCGAACAAGACGAGGAGTAAGAATGACGACTCCACACAGAAGACGTCATCAGAGAAGGTGAGCAAGGATCGTACCAAGAAGGTGAAGAGAAAAAGAGAGATCAGGCGCAGGGTCGGAGCCCTTCAGTGTAGCGTCGAGTACATCCGGAGGGATAAAGCTGTCCTCCTCGAGTGCCTATTAGAAGAAATAAAGCCGAATTAGAAGACAAATTATCGTTGAATCAGATAGATATCAAAGAATAACGCCAGAATTCTTCTATTCGAACCTGTATCACAGCGCTAATGCTATCTTGCTCACGGGGAAGTGCAGGTTTCTCATCCACGTCTGCTAGAATTTCCACAGAAACCCTGAGAAAAGGCATAACAGGAAAGAAGAACGAAAGTAAAAGTTTCTTTCATAAACGAACAGACCTTGTAGGAGATCCCCATTGGATTCCTCCGAGACGGCGGGATCGACTGAGGTTTCCTCTTCTGCTTGAACAAACATGGAGACCGAAGGAATTCAGAAATCGGTGAGCAGCCACAAGTTGATGTAGTTTCAAATAACCGGATCAAAGTCTTTCCTCGAGCATATCTAGAGAGAGAGACAGAGAGAGAGATTACCGAAGAAGGGAACAGCGGCAGCGCTATCCTCCGCGACCTGCAGGGCTTGAGAGGTCTGATCTGAAATCGGAACCCCAGACTCGCACATCTCAAATTAAATCCGGAAATCATAAAGGGAAAAAAACAGCAGAATAGCATCTGAGGAGGCGAATTCACGACGATATTTCCCTACCTCGGCGGTCATCAAAACCCTCGCGCGTCTCGGGACGAGGAGACCCAGGCGGTGGCGGCGGCAACAAGGAAGCTTCATCCGCAGCCATGAATATCAATCTCTTCCTCACGAATCTGGACGATCGACCTCAAAGTTCCTCCCGCTTCTTCACCTTCTTGGCGATGGCTGCAGAGAGAGAGAGAGAGAGAGAGAGGTTTTGAAAAGGGTCGAGAATCTGTCCTCTAACGGTCATATGGGCGTTGTAGAGAAACCAAACCCTGCCGTTGCAAGAGAGAATTTGAAATCTTCAGGTCACGTGAACCGTCAGATTCGCGAGGCCGCATCCAACGGCGCTCCTCCTCTTTCCTGCTTAACATTCCAAAAGCGAATCTTACACAACTCGGAAACTGAGTCGGTATCCTCACCGTTTATAAAAGGATACCCCGCTCCGTGGACCCCACTAAATACAAGGGGTATTTCCGTCAGAAGCCCATATTGTTTGCATTTTCACAAGAACCCCCCTTATTAACTTAAATTTCCAAACTACGCTTACGAGCATATGATATCTAAAATCGCACGATCTAGGGTATAGGTGTCATTTAGTATTATATTTAATATATTTATATGAATAATATAAGAGAATTATTATGTCATGCAGTCGCAGTTAATTATTAATATATTTAAATAAAGAAATAAATTAAATGGGAAAACAGGAAGATCAGCCAACCTCCACTTGAGTGACCACTCGATTAATAAATAGATAGAATAAACGGGCATCAGGGAAATGTTGCATTGAATCGGACCACTTAAATGGACCTTTTTCTGTCCCAGGTCAAACAATGCGCGAAGTAAAAGTCAGCCCGACCCCTTCTCCAGAAATCCAGAAGGATTCATCAAAAAGTCAACCACCTTCATTTTCTGCAGAAAGCAACATCAAATAAAATCGTCAAATATTTAAAAAAAGATCAAGACCTCCCAAAACAAGGCCATTGGTGTTGGTTCATCACATAAATATATCATATTAAGGCGATCAAAAAACTCCTAGATGCGTTGACTTTTTACACTACCCTTGACCATGCCTGTCTGCTGAAGCCTGTCGGAAAACTAGTCAACACGAGAAGCTCGAATAGCAGCAAAAGGAAGGAAGAGATTACTAATTAATGAAGGCCTTTAATGAAGAACCTCAGACAGATTTGGATGCGGAGAGATTAAATCCATCTGATTGGATAAAGATTTCATCATGTCAGATGATCAAAGCAATGATTTATTCGGGGTCAAAGTCCCTCCCAATTTCCAAAAATAAAAGATTAAAAATCATATCAGCTGAATTGGGAGTTTCAATCAGAACCTGAAAGTATCGGCAATAAGAAGGGAATATATAGCCCATTATCACCAGATATATATATATATATATAGAATTAAAGAAAACAGACGAAATTCATTTGACAGCATTCATCATTGTTCATTGTTATGGATGAAATGGTTCAGAGGGAATTCAATACCTTTCTAGGGTACGAGACACTGTTCCAAGATTGCAGGAATAACACGATTAGCCCTGAAGTAGGCAAAAAAAAAAAAAGGATTTCAGAGGATGAGGATTTAATGGCGCATATATAATCATCCATTTTCGGTAAACCCAGAAGGAGATCAAACCAAAACTGTGAAGCTATGCATAGTCGTCATCAGAATCCTCATCATCTTCATAGTCGGAGTCGTATTCTTCTTCTTCTTCTTCTTCTTCTTCTTCTTCTTCTTCAGCTCGTGGCTCCAGTAAGGTCCTCATGTTGAAACCCTGCTCAGGTTCCATCTCCTCCATGCCAATGGAGTCGTAGTTCATCCGCTCCTCGAACTTGGCGTCTGTGCAGTTCAGGAGCCAGGCCAGAGAGCACTTGAGACCCTTCTTGGCAACAATCCGATGCCTGGGCCGTATGGTTGACTCGAGGCTGTAGGAGAAGAAGGCGGGGAATGCGGCTAGATCTTCCAGATCCCCATCCATCTCCCCCTGGAAGTACTCCAAGCTCAATTTCATTATGTCCAGGTTCAGAGCGAGGATCTGCGGGCAGCTGATCACCATCTTCTTGACTTGCTGCAGAGAAAATCCACAAGTCTTGAAGAAATCTACGTGCTTCAGGATCACTGCCCGGCCGAGGCCAACCACCAGAGGCATCTTCTCCAGAACCCTGCCGAATTCCTCGGCCCCAAGAAAGATGGTCGACTCGAGGCAGCTCTGCTGGGCAAGCAGCTTCTGCTTCAGGTCGTCTGGGGCGATGCCGATGATCTCTGGATGCTGAGCTATGACGGCGGCCATGGATTCCCTTCTGACGCCAGATTGAAGAAGAGCTTCCACATTCGGCTTCACCTTCTCCTCCAAGCCGAATCCGAGGATGTGGGGCTTCTTCTCGATCAATCTGGCCAGAGCTCGAGGGGGCAGGCCCAAGGACTCGAGATACTCCACCAGGGGCTTGATCACCCTCCCCACTCTCATCCCCAGGATCTCCGGGAAGCGGGTGAGGACGCCGCCGATCTCCCTCCTCGAGACGCCGATTCCGACGAGGTAGGCCACGGAGGTGCTCATCGTCCCCTCCAGCTTAAACCCTAGCAGCTCGGGGTACTTCTCCAGCACTCGAGGAACGTCCTGCGGCCGCACGTCCATCCCCTGGAGGTACCTCACCACGGGGGCGAGGTCGATGACGACGCTGGCATGGAGGACCTGCGGATACCGCCGGAGGAAATCGGTGAAGGTGGACCTGCGGACGCCGATCTTGCCGAGGTAATCCAGCACGGGAACCATGTTCTTCTTCACGCTGCAGCCGAGAACCAGAGGATAATTGTTGATGTCGGCCACAGTAAGCCCTAGGGAGTGGAGGAAATCGACGCGCTCCCTCATCA